TGTATAGATGTGCTGTATATGGAACTAAACTAATATAAATGTGTATAAATGTGCTGTATATGGGACTAAACTAATATAAATATGTATAAATATGCTGTATATGGAACTAAACTAGTATAATTGTGATATATATGGTGTCTAACTCACGGCAGCCCGTTTCGTCGGACATGTCCCCGCAGTCGTTCCAGCCGTCGCAGCGCAGCTCAGAGGAGAGGCAGCGCCCGTTCCTGCACTGGAACATCCCGGGACACGCTGGGGAATAAGGTAGAAAAACACTTTTTTATTCCTGATGAAAGAAGAGAGTCTACTCTTTCTTTTGGTGTGTTCGGTGTTTACATAGTCATAGCACAAACTATTCTGTGGCTCTAGAAAAATCAGTCAAAATGCTCAAAAAACTCTGGCAGTATGGGACTCTGTTCTGAAAATGGCTGCCAGTCAATGAGTTAATCAAGCCAAGGATGGATATCCAACTCCCCCACATCCAAGTCGGCCATTTTGATTAGGTCACCTATAGGGAGATCCCAGGCAAGAAAATTGTAATTGCTTCATGGCAATATAGACATTCATTTAAAAATAGTGAAATGAATCTTGCAAACACTGAATTAAACTCTATCCATAATATTATGTTAAAATAGTGGATGTTAAATAGGTTTGTACAATAAGTCCAAACAAGTTTAACCTAAAAATATTTATTTATCACTATTATGAAGGGTGGAGGGTTAGGATTAGGGTTAGGGTTTAGGGTTAGGGTTAGGGTTAGGGTCATTAATGTGGGCCACCAGTCACGATAACATCAGTAACAGGTCAGTTTGAAATGAAAGACACAATTCAGTTAAATTTTGGGGTCTTTGTTTTTATCCTTGTGGTATTGAGTATTGAGTATTTTCCTGAGTATCTGTATCCAGTTGAAAATTTTAGTATCGACAAACCTACTATAGAGGGCCTTAAAACTCCCTAAAGGGGTCCAGAAGGCTAGTAAACAATAAACAATTAAAACCCTCGAGGTAGATTAAGTAAATAAATTAGTAAAAGTAAGTATAAATATATAATATGGCTAAAAAATAAAACCATAAAAGGGTCAGGGTTAGGTTTAGGACATGGTTTATCTTCTGATTTCGTATAGACAGTAAAGTTTTGTTTCCAGCTGAGAAAGCTGCTAGTCACATGACCTAATCAAAATGGCCGACTTGGATGTGGGCGGAGGCTGCTCCCCATTGGTTCACAGACTCACGATCTTTGTCATCGATGGCCTCGTAGGTGGCGCTAAAACCTCGGTCCACATAGGAGGCGTCGGAGAAGAAGCTGACGGCCATTTTGTTTGTTTTGCTGGTTTCAGTCAGCATCCCGTCGGGCTGTTCACCACACAGTCTGAGGGGAGACCATATTATTTTTATTTAATTTAATTTAAATAAAATATTAATCATTTTATTTCAATAAAAAAAAATGTCATTCTTAATAATATAAT